TCTGTGTGGTCTCTGAAAAGGTGGGTACTATGAGTTCTAGGTGTGGAAAAATGAAATTGGGCAGATAGCTATCAGATAACTTTAGAGCATCCCGATAGGTATGGCAAATGGGCCTTCAGGATTTTCAAAAAGAGAAACTGAGCATAATTTCTAGAATCCCAAATGCGTCTATGTGATTCTGGGGGTAAAACCAGAGAAGAGATACACATACCGTCATTAGAATATATGCTTGGGCAATTTCTGGGCCGTATTTGTAGAATCATTTGCAAGGAAAGAAAATAGTGGTCCAGTGAAAAACAAGGTGTGGATCCATCTTGCAACATACCAGAAATTAATTGCTTCAATTAGATAAACATGTTCTAGATAAACATGTTCATCACTAGAGGAAGACAGGTTACTGAAAAGAATTCTGATCCACGGTCAAAATAACTGTGTTGTTGACCCAATTTTGCTGGAGCATGGTTGTGGATCTTGTCCACTGGATTTAATGTCAGCTAGAGTAGCTGATCTCAAGGCTCTTTTCAGCTCTGTAGTTCTCTGGGTACTTGGATTTTTTTCTTTTTTTAAGTTTGCACCTGACTGGAGGTTGGTGACCTCACCCTGTTTATGAATATATCATGCCTAGACTCTTAATAGTATGATGTTAGAAATAAAAGGTGGTGATTAGCCTGCATGAGTTGGGGAAAGTGAAGTCATTTAAAAATTCTTGGACTAGTCCCCATGACCCACAGTCTAACTAAAACTTACCTTGATGCTGTCAGAACTTTGGCTTATTTTCTAACATGTAATGGTCATCAACCTCATTCCCTATGACACTGATTTTGGTCAATTATCTTCAGTAAAAAAAAAAAGCATGCGCATATTGGACCAGTGATGAGATAAAGCTACCAATCAGGTATTGCATTCCTTCAAGTTCTCTCACTCAGATAATTGACATCCTGATGTTTGTATTGTATTGAGACCATATCTGGAGTAAGCTTTGGGGGGAAAAATTAGAGTTGTCTTTTTCAGCAAGAAACAGTATCTGTTATCCTTTGTTGATGAGAGCACATTGGCCACACGTTCATTGAGTCTGGTAGAGATGCAGATGTTCTCTGACCATCGTATTTTCCCTAACCTTTATTTCCTTGTAATGTTCACATTGGATGGCTAAATAACAACATATCTTACTAACTACTGCTAAGACAATGATGATGATGGTAGCTTGTATTGGGTACACATGTAAGTCAGACACTGAGCAGGGAAGGTTATATCCACTTAACTAGTCTGTGTATGTACATTTCATCCATATATCAGAGGATATTTTGGAAAGCAGAATGCAATTTCCCTTCTTGTAGTAGTATTTTCTGCCTTTGATTTATAGGTCTATATATTAATTTGCTTTTTTTTTTTACTTATATTCAGGAAGAACAAAGATTTTTTTTAGGTGAGATTGTGTTAGTTCATTTGAATAATATGCCATCATGTAGAACATTCCTGCACATAGTAGAGGCTCAGTAAAGACTTGTAAATAAGAATACAGAAATGAAACACTGGCACAAAGCCTTCTCTTTCAGATGGTTTTATTGACATCAGATCGCCTTTAGTTTCAAAAACATACGTGGTTATTATGGTACTGATTTTATGTGCAAAGCTTTGGCATAAGTTTCTTTCATTGTTGGGATTCTACTCAGTGTTGATCTTGGTTATGTTTATATCCAGAAGAAGAAAAAATGAGATTACATGTTTATAAACTGTCAGACTCTTAGATTAAAGCTTAAATTAAAATACTCATAAAAATATTTCTATTCCCCAAAACTCTAACCTGAAAATGCATTTTCTTTTAATCCCCCCCCCCCATGCCAGATTCTTCCAGCAAAATGGTTTTCTGGTAATTTTGGCATTTTCATGGTGGCTCGAGAGTTTTACAAAATTCCTGTGCATGAAGTTGACCAAAAAAGAATTTCATTAAAGGGCAAAGCTCCTGGTTGAGTAGTTTGTATATACACGTTGAATGATAAAAATTTTCTTTGGGAAATTAAATTTATGTGAAAGTTTCTCATTGATATATTTTGTCACCTTGGAAAAATTTTAGATTTGCTAAAGATATTAGCAACTCTGTTCATGCCTTTGTTGCTCTCATTTCTGAGGGGATTACATTCCAATTACTTTTTTATTTACTCACTTTAAACTTAATCTTACATGTGCAAAGTCTTTTGTAATCTCTAACAGGATACGTGTTTTGAGAATGGGCTGTATGCTTGGTTTACATTGTGTTGCTGTATTTACATACCTTATATAGCAAATTGACAAATCACTCATATCATCACAATAAGCAAGTGGTTTTCATTTAGAGAACTATGCCCAGTTAAAAAAGAAGAAACAATGCATATGGAAAAAACATTTCAATTATTCAAATAGATGAGTCTCGACTGTGTGATTTCATCATAAAATACCTATATTGGTTTGGGATAAGATTAGTCGTCTTTATGTTAATTATTAGTGCATTTTAAGGAAACTGACTAATAAAGTGACCCTCCCAACTTGCTAATAAAATTCAACTTCAGTTTTCCGTGAGATACTCCTTGAGAACCAAATCACTGCTGAAATTTGAAACAAATCCTAATCTTTGTTTCTTCATTTGGTAGCACAGTAATTAATATATGTCACACACACACACCCACAGAGTTATGAACACAATTAGGACACACCTATTTTAATGATGGTGATTTTAAAAAAGACAATATTTGGCACTTTGCATTGTGCCTTTCTCATCTCTCCCTCTCTTTCTCATCCCCACAATCCTAACTGCTACTCTTTTCAATGCTAAGGTAAGCTAGGGAAATAAGAAGCAGTAGAAATATAATATGAGGCGGTGATTATTTTACTCATTTTTTTCATGGTAAATAGCTGACAGGATTGTTGATTAATTTCCTATAGCTTGTTTTGCAAACCATTGGTAGTCTTTGCTAAATACTACTGCCAAAATTATTGTTAAAATAATATTTATACTAAAAGAACTACAGTGACTTTTATTTTGTATATTTGTATATAATCTCTTTCTCTTTCCATCCTTCCAAACTTTAACAACTGAAATTTGGCCAGAATATTTATTAACCAAATGTTAAAGAAAATATATTTGTTAAAAATAGTTTGGATTCTTTGTGAAAATGGGAGCAATTGAAACAGATCAGGATTAAATGGCAGGGGGAGAGTCGGGTTAACTTGGAGAACAGAAAGCTGAAGTAGGGTTGATTTCCTGGCACTGCTTTCTTAGCAAAGAGAACAATTTTAATCAGTTACAAAAATATTTGTGATCCATATGTTCCTCTCTCCTCATTCCCATATGCCCATATTCTCTTTTATCTTGCTAGATGATGACTTTATGATTCAGGCATGCAAGAATAATACCTCGCTGACTTTAGAGCTTGGTGCTATTTCAAAACGTGTCCTGGTAATTACGCACACATATATCCAGGCTGTTCCCGCTTTGAGTTAGTTATGTGAATATCAGTTTGTTCTTTCTCTCTTCGTGGAAAGAATTATATCTTGCATCCTCCTACTGAGGCTGGAATAATGCATCTAAGACTTAGATTTGAAAATTGCACTGCCGTTTGCTTTCTGGATTATATGCTACAGTACACATATGGGGGTCGGGAAAAGGAGGCAAAAATGTTGCGGTGATTCTTGACAACTTCATTCACCTTGGATAAAGGATTACAGAACCAAAAAGCATTTGGTAATTCTGTTCATTACTGACATTTATTCTAAGATATATTAGCAGATGGGATTGTTAGTTAAATAGATCCTAATTTTAAAACACTGTGAGTTCTATTTAATATTGATTATCAATTATAGAAGCCCAGGTGAAACTGGTCAAAATGGAAAAACTGAAATTACTGTTGATTGTCAATCCATTTTTGTCCTAAATTCATATTTGCTTATCTCTCAATAGCCATGTTATAAATTCTAACAACAAAACAAACATATTTTAAAGTCTAATTGTCTATCTTAATAAGATATGAATAAATCCAGAAATTATTGACTGTACAAGTGATTGCATTTTCAACAGTTGCTTTCCTCTTGCACAACAAATGGCTTTGTAACCCAATATGTTATTAATATAGCCACAGTAAAATCCTGTGAGGAACCAGCTGTGCTCATTTTAAACTTGGGGGGAGAGGGTAGAAAGGAGGAGGGAGAGAGGGTTTCTAAACCTTCAGACAAAATAACTGGGATGCATTTAGTGTTTTCATAGATGGGTATATGATAGAAGAGGTGTTCATGCTGTTGGATCTAGTGGATGTGCACCAGAGGACGTACAAGGAAAGGAAAGAGATAATAGATTTTGGCAAATACTATTAGGAGCCCGTCTCTATGTTTGCATTCAAACTGTCTTTGCCACTGCTCCTGTAGGAGTTGTGAGAACAAGACAGTGCACATTATAGCGTGGATTGTTTTCAACAGGCTCAAAATTTGCAAATCTGTTGAATCTCTCTGACAGCGTTTCTTTGCTGTCAAACAGAATGCCCAGCTGGCGGAGACAATCCTGAAGGAGAGGGAGGGGTTTGGATAGATGGTATTCACTATGAAACAAGAATATTAGGAATTCTTCCCAAACTGTAAGTGGAGAGAAAGAGCACTCTCAACCATGCCATTAGGAAAGTTTTTTTTCTTTAAACTTTTAGAGATAATACCTTATTAAATAAAAATATACTTTATTCAGGTAACTCTGATAAAGAAAGGAGTCGCAGAAACAGCACTAAGGTATATCATATTAATCCATAATTCAGGCAAAGACTTTGGTTAGAAAAAGGAGGCAAGACTTTTGCTCTTAGGTGATCTTGGCTCTCACTGAGGCAAACACACAAACTTGTTTTTTTTTAAATACAAAGTGCGAGATTTCACTAAAAAAGGTTAAAATTGAAGTGAGTAATCTTCGGTGCATAATGCAATTGTTAATTTTAGCTCCTTGCGTGGGTGCCGTTCTGACTTGAACAGCCGGCTGTAGCCTTCATTAGAGAAGAAGCAGGCAGCTTGAGACAGGTGGAACTGGATCAAGCTGTGAACGTGATTTGCTGGAAGCTGGTCATTAGTGTTAGAAACCCCATCTTATTTATTTTGTCCTTCGCCCTACCATGATGATTGCAATGATTATTATTTACTTTTCATCTTTTTTCAGGTTGACGATGTGTCACACTGTGTAAGGGAATCGCATGGAGATGGGCATTCCGAACTGTTAATGGGGACATGGGACTCCAGTTGTCTCTGACTTGTGTGGATTTTCCCGGTGTAGAGCGACAGAAACCGCTAGTAAGTCACCAAGACCTACAGCAGGAATTCTGCACGAAAGGTAAAGGTCTTGTTGTCTGGCTGTCATCTCATCTGTATTTTATTGCTATTATATAAATATATCTGCTTGCATAGAATGGTTCACTGATATAACCTTGAGAGAAGGATCGGTATCTGAGACTTATTTGGATTATGGTTTGAAAAATTAGAGATCAATTTGTTCACTCTGTTTTAAATTTAATCACAATCTGCTTTTTTTATTGAAATGCTTTGAAAAATGAGCTAGGGCAACAAAAGTTCCCTCTTCTCCCCCTACCCAATACATGGTGAAACAAGCTGTTTACCATTGGAAAACAGGACTTTTTTTATTTTGTTAACCACACATACTGAGTACCACTGAAGTATGAGAAATTCAGAATGCACTGGATGGAATATCTGAAAACCTCTTCAAATCTGAAAGTATTGTTTACCAGTCACAAGTCCTTTAGGAAAATGTCTCTTTGTACATTCCCACAATCCTTTGCCAAATAAACCTGTGCATTTTAAAGATACCATAGATACTATCTGTTTTGTCATGATAGAGTTTAGTAAATTTACAATAAAAATTGCTGTGGTTTAGATTTTTCTCATGCTTCCTATTTCCAGTTGGAAATAAAGTTACTAAATTAGTAAATGGCAATTAAACACGCTAAAAAAAATCAAAACAATAATTTATCTAATAATAATTACCATTGTAATGACTGGAAACTGGACAGTTACTGCTTGGGATTTTTGTAAAAGGACTGACTTTCTAAACAACATCTCCTCCTCCTCCTCCTCCTCTTCTTCTTCTTCTTCTTCTCTTCCTCCTCCTCCTCCTCCTCCTCCCTCCTTCCTTCCTCCTTCCCTTCTTCTGTTTATTTTTCTCACAGCTTAAAAAAATGAAGAGGAAGTACATGCTAAACTATTCATGAACTTATTTGACAGCACATCAGAAGGGGAAGTGTTAGGGCTTTTATTGATGTAGGGAGAAAAAAAATAATGCCAGGCTTTAACTTTGAAAAGCCATTTCCAGTGTCTGTGTAGTATTCTACTGTGAGCCTGGAGAAGTGAAGCTCAATTGCGATAGCTTCATTAGAGCTGCCTGCCAAAGACTTCCTTCCGCAGGCTCTTGTAGCACCAGCAACTGACAGGAGCATGGGAGAGGGCTTATACTTTTAATAATGTAGCTGTCAGCTTGAAGCCTGGAAATGTTGACCCTGAAAGGTTTATTGCCAAAATTAGATCCCATATTTATACTGAATCATTATTTCTTCGATTGATTTTTGCCCCTTGTAGAGTACTATATTCCTTCTACCTGGGAAAGTATGTCTATGTTTGAAACCTGCAAATAATTTTTGAGTCATCTTAGAGATGCTGCAGAACAATCAATATCAATGCTTGAGTCAGAGGTCTAGGGTTATCTGTTTAAGAGTTGAGGAAATATTCTCTTGTTCTTCTACTTTGTAGGGGGCCATAGGGGACTGGTAGTTGTGTAGGAGTTGTGTGTCTCTAAGATTTGTTGATCCACTTTGATGTCAAGGTATATTCACAAGTGTGTGCATTTTGGGGGAGGAGATGTGAATGGGGTGATGGCATCTGCTTCTTGTGTATGCCTTAGGTACTTGATTTCATCTTGTTTTAGTCTCCTTTTGTATACAGTTGTCAAGGATGCCTGAGTTACTCATTTGCATTTGAATATAAAAGGAGAAATGAAATATCTAAAGAAGAATAGTAAATACTTCACCCAGCACTGACTTTGTTTTCTGATATCTTCACCTCTAGGGCATAAAACCTTGTTCTTTTAATTTGCATCTGGGAGAATGTCTGGGCAAGGAGACCTGAATCAGGCGATAGCAGAGGAAGGAGGGACTGAGCAGGAGGCGGCAACTCCAGAGAATGGTATTGTTAAATCGGAAAGTCTGGATGAAGAGGAGAAGCTGGAACTTCAGGTGAGTGAGCCTGAAGAGACCCTCATTCTCATGCAACTGTGCGGTTTCTTCCCTTTATTTCTAGAATACTTTAAAAAATTTGTGAGACTTTTTAATTTGACTAGTTAAATCTGTAATGCTAATCTCTTCCTTTCTCAATTATTAGTCCCTTTTTCCTAGCTGAACCGTGTTCTAAAACACCTTTTGAGGTGTAAAATATCTAAGGAAAATATTTATTTCGTGACCTTGCACACAACATCCCAGTACCAATTTCGAGATCACCTCAAGTTATATGTGGCGAGCTTTTCCCCAGGCAGGTTTAGGCTAGCTGAGTTTTAAAAATGAACTTGCCATTCCATGGAAAGATAAAAAACGACTTCATGGTAAACTAAGAATCAAAGACATGCTCCTTTGACCTTCACGGGCATGCTAAGGTTCAAATCTCCTTCGCAAACAAGCCTAACCCCAGAATCCCCAACCAAAGAGAGAGGGAGCACTTGGGGGCTGGGGCAGAGAGGAAGACTAGAAAGAATTTTAAAGCATGATTAAATACACCATGAGTTACAACAGAAAAAGATTTAGTAGATGGAAAACAAACTCCACTAACAAATTGTGCATAAGCATCGATTTTCTTTGAACTAAACTAGGAAGTGTTAACTCTTTATATCCCAGCAGTTGGCAAAGGCAGAAAACCACATAATGGCAAAAAGCATTCAAGGTCAGCTTTTCATTTCCTCCTCTCCTACAGTTGCTGTAAGGAGAGAAAGCCAAAAGTTAAATAGTCAAAAGTTTTCAAAGCTAAAGGAGTCCTCCCTAGCGGTTATGATGTTTTGTTACTGTTATTATTGATTTTTCTACTGTAGCCAGTAGTGACAGTGACACCTCTCTCTCTCTGTCTCTGTCTCTCTCTGTCTCTGTCTCTCTCTGTCTCTGTGTCTGTCTGTCTCTCTCTCTCTCTCTCTCTCTCTCTCTCTCTCTCTCTCTCTGCTGCTTGTTGGTTTACTGTTTGCTTGTTTTATTTTGTTTCCAACGTACAGAGACGACTGGAGGCTCAGAACCAAGAGAGAAGAAAATCCAAGGTAGGTTTCTTGGGATTCTAGATAGACCTGATATTGTGGATACAAATTGCATATTTTAAATCCGAGCTAAACGATTTGCTAACAATTCAGATCTTTGTGTGCAAATATTGTGGTGCATCCCGGTTGTGCTGGTGCTGTCTGCTTTCAGTGGGATTGTATTCGCGCATATCTTTCTTTCTCGCTTTGTATACTTTTTAATTAGAGAATTTCTGATTCAAATAGCTGCATATGTATGTATTTGATACTGCTTTTACACATGGAGATTTGACAGTACTTTACAAAACAAATAGTGATTTGTTTTTGTTTTTATTTTAAGTCAAATTTGGAGTAGGTGTTTTGATCTCACAAACTGATTTCTGCCTTGAAGTAAACAGGTACCATTGTTTAGTACATAGTCTTCATTCTTTTAAGCATCGTCTCAGTCAAATCTCCTCCAAACTTAGTTTAAGTGGAAATTAGTTTTGTCCTTTTTTTTCTACGGGTGTTTTCCTGAAATGGCAGCAATTTGTTCCTCATGAGTTCCCAGTTTGACAGGCACAAGTCTGCTAAAGTGATTTCTAAATTTACCTTTTCACATTCCTCTTCACCTCCATCCCCATCAACTCAGAGGTCTGGTGCTTTCAGCAAACCTAGACAGTGCTGGTTGGCAGACTTGACGCTTGGTTTTAAAAATCTCATTTGAGGATGTTATGTAAACATGGAGATGAGTTGACAAGTCTGAGAATGTTTTTTGTTTGTTTTCTTTATTTTCTTTTCCTTCCTTGTCTTTCCCCTCTCCCAGTCAGGAGCGGGAAAAGGTAAACTAACTCGCAGTCTTGCTGTCTGTGAGGAATCTTCAGCCAGACCAGGAGGTGAAAGTCTGCAGGATCAGGTATAACCCCCGTCATTATCATTAATTGCATGAACGGGATCCACCTTTGTGTGCATGACTATCAATGTGGCGTTAAACCGTGTTTTGGGGGAGAAAAATGTAATTGAAGAAAAGAAATCTTTTTTTGGGGGGCTTCGTCCCCTGCTTATGAAACATTCTAAAATAGTTTAATGGTTTGTCACAGAGTATTACGTTTGTTTTTTTCCAGACCCTCTGAAAACTGCAAAGTGGAAAGGAATTCAAAAGAATTTAGATTAAAAGTTAAATAAAAAGTAAGCACAGTTGTGCTGAATTTCCTCAAAGGCTCTCTCTTGATAAGGCTGAACCAAATATAGTCCTAAGTATCCTGTCTCCTTCCTTATTGGAGATATCTTACCTCTCAGCTCCCCAAAATGCACTTGCCTATAAGAAACAACACAATTGTTGGCACATATGAAACTTAAGAAATAGTGAATAAGGTGCATTGAACTTTGGAGAAATAATTTTATGGCCTTTGGTGGAGATTTCTCAATACTGCAAAAATGATCCAGAAGTAAACGTGAGCTGATGGTGACTTTAAGTTAATATTATTAAATATCTCGCTGCATATTTCTACCCTTATTTTTGCTCCTTACAGCAAGATTATTAGGCTCTAAAAATTTAAAGTTCAACAAAACTTTTCTCTGGCAATATGGAAAATTTCACATCATATTTATTTTTGTTTGCTTTTCAGGCACCACATTAGCTTTTATAAAAATAGTCTTGCTGCTGGAATTTCACTTATTTTATCAGAGGCTGAGAGCAGTCAAGACAAAAGTAAAATGATTTATCTGAGCCCAGGGGAGGGAAAATTGATTACCATATAATTATTTTTGTTGGTTTTATTTTGCTTTTCTCTTTTTACTTTAATTGAAATACTCTGAATTCCCCTCATGGACACAGAGAGCATTGAGAGCACTTTCTTTAAAAGGACCAAAAATAAATTCCTTATAGATTTTGTCCTAAGAGTATTTTTTTTCTAGCCTCATTTTCTTAACATGCCACTCATGTCATAAGGCATGGACAGGCTATCTTTCAGTAGCCATTACTATGTTTCATACACACGCTTTATTTTACTGGGCTCTGAGAAATGTGTGGCTTTTCTTCAGCATTTTATGTGTGCTTCTATTTTTTAATGGAAATTGAAAAGGAGGAATAATGTGAATATCATGGCTTGTATCATTAAATGTTGATGGATGGCTTGTAATGTACTGCACAAGATCTATGTTAACTCTGCAAAATGACAGACCCTGGGAAAAGTAATGCCCCACGTTGTCCCCCACTCTTAATGCCAGGCAGAGAAAGACAGCCTTTATAGACTTAATCTGCTTTTTGTCCCCTTTGACAAGACCCCAGGAGGAAATTTTTTAAGGGATCATCTGTATCATAGATCCGGGACCTAATTCCAGTTTTCCTATACAAGTGGTGCAGAGAAATAAGGTGCAAACGGTGCTTTGTTCCTGCTGGTTTCAAGCTCAGAAACCAAGACTAGCTTTGTAGGAGAGAATTAGCACCTGCAAGTTTCTCTTTGCACTAGCTGAGGAGTGGTGGGAGAAAGGGGCTGATAGAAAATACCCAGACACATATATAAGCGAATGACTATGCTACTTTTATAGAGATTAAAGAAGCAGACCTTTGAGTTTATATGCAATGCCTTCATTAGGTACCACCGGCATTTACAAAATGTGAGAACTGAATCCCAGAGAACACTGGCAGAAGTATACAGTATATGGATTGTATCGCTTCCCCAATGTTTGTATATTCACAGTATTTGGAAAACTGCCTTCATTTTCCAGTGTGGGAAGAACTCTTGCTACCTGTATTACTTGATCTCAGACCCATACCTAATGGTTCAGTCTGTCCTTAAGTTAAAGGAATTTTGCTTTTCTAATGTTATACTATTTACCTATCAGTGTATTACTGCAACTTGAATCACTCTTTTACTGTTGTTGGATATAAACTTATCCTGTACCAATGTATTTATTAACACTTGTATTTTATTATTGAGCATATCAATAAAAATATTAAAAAATAACAGATTGTTTTTTACCAACTCTATAGCACTTTTGTGTGTTCTTTCAACACCATAATGTATATTTATGTATAGAAAAGATAGATTTTTTTCTGAGTATAGTATCTGTCAACACATGGCATCAGTTTATACATTTTTTTTGTAGAGATGTTCTTTGGCCTCTGCTCGTGCATTGATGATGCATGTTCGAGCCTCTACGATTTTAGATTTATACTTAGAGAGGCTGAATGGTTCAGTAAGTTTTGAAGAAGCAATGAGACCACTTTCATGTCCCAGAAACCCTCAGTTTTTCTTCCTAATTGTCAAAGTGAGTCTTCCCTACCCACAGCCCTGTCTTTTGAGCAAAAAATGTTCCAGTGGTTTCCTTAACCAGTAGAAGAAAATCATATCCTTAGAACCTACCTGAACCTTTGCTTATCAAGACATTTCTGTCCCAAACTATGTGGCAAAAGACTCTATAATCAAATTACACTCAGTTTTACATATTTTGTATACATCTATCCCCAGGAAAAACATGTGGAAGTCAGAAAGCCCAGCTAAGATAAATATTTACAATGAAAGTGTGTTTTATTTCATCCTTTATATTGTATGACTTTCTAAGCATAGTGAAGCAAGGAATTCACAATAGAGCCCCTCCCAAAAAGAGAAATTTGACTTCGGAGGACTTTTGTCTAATGTTTGTTAGATTAGCCAAGTTTACTGAGAGTCATTAAGAATCCCAAATTTGAGGCAGTACAGGCATCAATTTAGTCACATGTAGTGTAAGTATTAGTTTAGTTTTAGTGAGAGACATTATTAGTCATTGGGAATTTTTTCTCCTACCTCATAAATTTTAATGTCACTAGTGGAAGAGCACTTCCCCACCAAGTGATCTCTTACATAAGAATAAGTGGGCTTAATGTCTGCTAATTTGTCATAGTTTTCATCGTAGCATAGGTTTTTCACAAAACAAAAAAAACATGATTTGGCTCATTCTTCTTCAAAACAGTTAGCATAATATCAATCAAATGGCTGTTATATGTGAGGTAATGCAAAATGATCTGTTTTGAATGCAAGATAAATAAATATGAAAGTGGATCCAGCCCCAGTACGGCAAAGACTCAATCTTATATCAGGCATCAGTTCAAGAGAATCTTATATTTTGAAAGGATTAACTGATACTAACATAAAAATAATATTAAATATTTATGTATTACCTATGAAAAATATAATTCTACTCATCACCTTTTCTAAAAGGCAATCTTATTGTAACTACATTACATTGATTTATTAATGGTATTTATAAACAATTATGACAATAATCCACCCTTAGGATTCCTGAAATTATACAGTCTGCTTTTTCATAGTAGTAGAAATCATTGTGGACATGGTTCATTCTAAAATAGTTTTTATTGTAAATTAGGTATTAGGGACTTTCTTTATGTCTGTTCTATCTGTAATTATGATCCGTAATGTCTGTCTGTGTTTGTGCTAATTTCTCCTTATAAGGAGTTATAGAATCGAACTGCAGAAGCCTTTTTTTTTAAAAAGATAGTGGCTGTGATGCAAGCTTACTGATACATTCTTCCTAGGTGTTTAAAAATAAGCCTAAGAAAATAAGTAGTGTAATCTACAGGAATGTAACTTGGTTAAGGTTAATATTCATGAGTCAAAGTTGTAGTAGTAGGTGTTTCTTATGACTTCCCATTGACTTCTGAAGTTCAAGTCACCTTAAAGGGCAATTAATTTTCTGACAGGTTTAATTTCTTACCATTTAAGAAAAGAAAAATCTTTACCTGGCTTTCATTTTTCTGTACTTAATAACCTCTATGCAAAATGAAAACCAGACAGAGATTATTAAATCTGGCCCTAAATTATTATATTTTTTCCTCAACAGGAATCAATTCATTTACAGCTTTCCAGTTTTTCCAGCCTGCAAGAGGAGGATAAATCTAGGAAAGATGACTCTGAAAGAGAAAAAGAAAAGGATAAAAACAAAGATAAAAACTCTGAAAAACCCAAGATCAGAATGTTATCGAAAGGTGAATGTGAAAATGTTTCATTAACTTACTCAATTTGGGCACACACGTAATCACAGAACACATTCTAAATCTCATATGCATATTCACCTCCCACCAAACCCTGCCTGCAATTTTATGTGTACATATTTGCGTGTCTGAAAGATATGAACTTGATTTCCTTTCTGTTCATGGTGTTATTATTTGTGTTGCTAGAAAAGTTATTTTTAGGATCACAAATTTCTTTGGAGTCATATGTGAATCTTCTGCCTTCAATGACCAGCTTGTACAAAGGACTAACTATAAATCTGCCCTTGATTCAAGTTGATTAAACCAATGAACTAAATTGGTGAACAGTAATGACACTCAGTTTTATAGCTTAACTTTCATGCTTACTTTAAAAGACAGATAGTGAATTAGCAATTCTCAGTGGATAAGTGATGTGTGGTTCCCAAACACAGGTGTATATTTCAGTGGAATATATGATTAACATTTTATCTGGCACAGATGAAGTTAGTTTCTGCACCCATAGGCTGTCATACGGTATTCATTTAAAAAATACACATGCCTCCTGCAGTAAATAGTTTTCCAAGCAAAGTCATGCCTTCTAAAACCGCAAATCTACAATCTAGGCTATTCAAATTGTTGCCATTCATATTGTTGAACAAAACTAAGATGAAGAGTGCCACAAATAGACTTGCAGTAGACTTTTAAAAAGTGACTGAGAAAGAATAAGGTATCGGATCAGCTAAGGAACGACTACTGCCTCTAATACTATGCTCTATAGACACTTATCTGCTTATAATGGTTGTCTCAGCTGCTGAATATCTAAAACCCAACGTCTATATGAGAGTAAAGAAGTTCAGGTTTCTAAAACAGTTCTATAAATAAAGCTTCGGTCAGCTTTGGGAGATTTAAAAGACTTGGGAATATTTAGTGCTCTCCTGTGTTTTATACTGGTTAATATTTAGATAGTCTCCTAACAAAACTTTCACTTTTTGTCCTTCTGTGTTTGGAGAGGAAAAAAAGCTTTCATGGGATCTTAAACTCTTGAGCTCTCTCTGAGAGTGGGAGTGCCTGTCACATGGAGTTTGTGCCCTTGTTGATTTATAGTTCGAGCGAACACATGGTGCTTAACTCCACCTCCCCACCGCCCCACACCCAGCCTGTGCCCACCTGCCCTGCCATGACATTTGGATCTTTCCATAGTCAGAATTTCTTGGGTGTTTTCAATCCTCAAGTCTAATTTTCATTCTGATGTTATGCTGCCAGATTGCTAGTTTTGAAACATGTATTTTTATGACAGTAGCTTTATCTAAAATTTACCTAAGCAGGAGGGAAATGGGATAGGTTAGGAAAATCTTTTCCACCCCACCTTCTCACCATCATTCCTGACAATCCCATCCTACTATTTGTTTCAGATTGCAGCCAAGAATACACGGATTCTACAGGCATAGACTTACACGAGTTTCTGATTAACACTTTAAAGAATAATTCCAGGTAAATTATTAAATGAGTCTCTTATTTTCAGAAAGACCAAATAGAATGTTACAATCAAAGCTATTAATTCAACACTTCTAAGAAGGCCGTTATAAAATGCAAATACCTTTCCCGATGTCTTAAACAATCTCCTGTATTTTTTCTTTTCTGCTAATGGTTTGCATGTTCACTGTTTAAAGGGAGTCTCAATAACTAGATAGTTACAGAGTGAATAAATTATAATTTAACAGCTCTGCTTTCCTTGTCACAAAGAGATATTAAGGGAGAAAAACAGAAAATTACAATTATTGATGTCAAATAATATATTTATGTTTCAATGCATTTATATATCCTTCTACAGTTACTATTTAAGATTTGCTTTGTTCTAGTTTCCTATTAATTTAAAGTGTATTATTCATTTGATGTGTTTTATGGTCCTAAAATTTTGCATGTCATAATTAACATTAAGACTACAAAATTTATATATTACAAAATACTTAACAAACGAGATAAGACATAATCTAAAGTAGAATGAAATAGTACGTAAATGGACAATGTATTCCAGAAAAGGGTTAAACATAGGTTTGCTGCAGCATATATTTAAATAATCTTTTCCATACATTGAATTATTTAGGTATTTGAGAATGTAGAGTACATAAAACCTTTTTATTCTAACATTTGTTTTGCAGGGACAGGATGATACTTTTGAAAATGGAGCAGGAAATCATTGATTTCATTGGTGACAACAAGTATGTTTAGCTGCAATGCTAGTTAATTTTGTGATGTGTCCTACTTTGGTATTTAGTTAAATTATCCATTTTGAAATGACTTAGAGATAGATAAAATGTAGTTTAATATGTTTCTTGATTTGTTACATGGAGATGTTATCCGAGTTTGGAACTATATGCTAATGAGAATTGTTGCATGGACCATGTGTGCTCCTGCTTGTTAAATTCCTAACAAAATAGCTATAAACAGAGGGCCACTGATTAGCATAGAGTAACTATAACAAGAAGCGACCCTTTTCATTTTTATTATAGTTTTTTAATGGGCTCCAGCTGGCTGCAGTCAGTTATGCCTGAAAATAATTGTGCCATTTTCAGTGTAAACCTTGTAATGACACATCTCCAGATAGGCATCTGCAATCACGTATTATGTCATGTCATTTGTCCTGTGCCTGGCCCTGTTGATAAGGTATCATGGACTAAAATAGAACATTCTCCAACAGACATTAAGGCCTCCTTGGCAAGAGAAATATGCAACTATGAAACAAAGATACTTATTGCAGCTTAATCATAAATCTATAATAAGTGGAAAATTTGTCTGGAAATGCGGACATTAAGTGATGTCAGAAATGAAATAGGTTTAGTGGTTTAGATAGAAGAGTTTTGTGTGTGTCTACCTGTAAAATATACTCTGGGCAAGAAATGAAAATGCTGATTCTGCTTTTTCTTGTGTTCTGCTCCAGTAATCATTATAAAAAGTTCCCTCAGATGTCATCATATCAGAGGATGCTTGTCCATCGGGTGGCAGCTTATTTTGGCTTGGATCACAATGTGGATCAAACGGGAAAATCTGTAATCATCAATAAGACCAGCAGCACCAGAATGTAAGCCCCATCACTGTACTTATTTAGCATTTTCTTTTTCTCTTATGGATTCATTTACAAGAGCACAGTATAAAATTCAAAGTACATGACATTTAAAATGTGCAGTGTTATTTATCTCTTGCTCTTATCAGAAGTAGTGTGGCATTTATCTGTAGACGATTATCTGAGATCCAGGAAAGTTTATAAAATTCAGGCAATAAAGTAGATTTATTCCCTGATCTTTTACATAGCTCCTGAAGTATAATTTTCTTTCTCTCGTCAGCACTCTATGAAATTACATTCAAAACTATGGGAGATTTTATGTCAAAGTATAACTTAAATTGAAAACAACCAATATTTTAAACAACTATGACACACATACAATTGTTTCTTCCTTTCTTTTTCTCTGGTTTTTATACATCTATCTTATTGTGGCTTCTAGAATAAGAAAAAACTCTGAAACTGGAAACAAAAATCTTTTCTTTAACACCCAGTTCTACTTACTAGCTGTGTGACTTAGAGCAAATCATTTAAAATCTGCCATCTCTGTTTTTTTCACCTGTAAAATGAAAGTTTTGAGCCAAATGGTATATGTAAGATTTAACTCTAAAAAAGATGATAAGTTTTTTTCTACTTAAAATAATTGCTTGTTTTTATCTTAATACCTTTTTTACTGTCCCATTGAGTCACTAAAACCAGAATAATGAGTAGTTATTTTCTTTGAAATTTAGAACTCTCTTGAGCCTATATATATATATATAGTACAGGCCATTTCTGTAGTAAACCAAAAACCATCCCTAAGTATAACATTCACTTTTATAATTTTCTTTTTCACAGTGTCCTTGGCAAACTGTAAATTGCATGGACTTTTGGAATGACATGTTAGTGAAGGGAGTTTTTGTGTCAAGCAGAGTATCACGGTTAAAATAAATACTCATTATTTTCTGCTTACCAGAGGTTGGGGCAAATGGGGATGAAAATGAGGCTTTCTTTACTCAAGGATCATTATGTGTTCAACAGAGGTGGAGTAAAAGTTGTAGTGAAGAGAGCACAGACTAGGAGATCTGGGACCAAGCTTGGTTATTATCTCAGGCACAATAAGCACTCCACTTCTCTGGACTTAAAATTACTTATATATCTGCAGGACCGCTTAAAGTGAATAATGTTTAAGGGTCATTGAAGCTTCAGAATTATTAGGTCCTGTGGTTGCTTTCTACTCTTCTGGCAAAGCACATTTTAAAATGTATCACCTTTCTACTTTATCTGATGGTTGACACATATGCCTCATATTGTGAATGGTAATGGGAATTAAAGGTCGCTGTTCTTTAATTCTTTGCATCTTTCCTCTTTATCAAATAGTCTTTGTTGTTATTGTGTTGCTGTTGTTTGTTTTTCTTCATTCTGTTTTTTGGTTTTTTGGTTTTTAGATACCATAATTCAGGGACATACTTGTTGCTAAATAGAAAAGCAATAGACTACTTCCTTTTAATTTTTTTCTTCCTCTTTGTCTATAAGGTCATAGCAAACATGGAAAACCCCATAGTTCAAGTAGATCAAATTCGATAGCTTCAACTGGTGAATAGTAGATTTATCTTTTTTTTTTTTTTTTTTTTGATTTGGAGTCTCACTCTGTCACCCAGACTGGAGTGCAATGGCTGCTCCCGGCCACCGCAGCCTCGACCTGCTGGGCTCTGGCGATCCTTCCGCCTCAACCTTCCAAGTAGCTGGAACTACAGGCGCGCGCTACCACACCCAGCTAATTTTTTTATTTATTGTAGAGATGAGGTCTCACCAAGTTGCCCAGGCGGGTCTCAAACCCTCAGGCTCAGGCAATCCACTCAACTCAGCATCCCAAGGTGCGGGATTACAGGCTGAGCCACCGAGCCCAGCTAGTGGATTTATCTTTAATTCACTTGTTTTTTTCGGTCACCTTGTTATGAATATTAGTACATATGTTTGAGATCTGTTTCCTTGAGGAAGGCCTTTGAGGAAATTAAACATTGTATCTAGGCTCTTGGTAAACTTTGAGTGGCAACTCTAATCCTGCTTTGCCCAATATAGTAGCTACATGTGGCTGTTTACATTTTAATTTACATTAATTACACTTATATAAAATTTAAACTTTAAAATTCAGTTACTTCATCAGGATAGCCACATTTTAAGTGTTCACATTCAATGAAGCATATAGAACATTTACATGATTTCAAAATGTTCTATTGGTCAGTTCTTCTCTAAATTTGTTTTTCCCTGAAAATTCTCAAATATCACTAGATAATATAATTTGTCTTTAAAACTTTTATTTTCTAATTAATAAGCATCACATCACTAGACTTCTTCACTGCCAGAAGAGCACCAGCTTTTTTTGTTTGTTTGTTTAATGGCTGTTTACAAATAAGTCCCACACATGTATGCCCTTAGGAAGAGTGCATAGTGAGTGTGTGTAGAGAACACCTCTGGAAGGTACAGTTGCTACAGTAGGAACATCAGGGCTCAGTCTCTGCCTAATTTCTTCTTCTTGTATACCACCTAAATTATGTCTAAACACAAAAGCCAAATGCCTGTAAGTCATGAACTTTCAAGGTATGTCCTGAAGTGTGATCTCCATAATGTTGAATCTACAGCTATTGAGTTCTGCTGTTCTATTTCAACTACATTTCTGACCATCCATTATTGAGTAACTCTTGGGATGGGTGGATAGTGGTAGTGGTTCAGGGATATATTTTAGGACAAAAAAAAAAGAGGATGAGTTAAAAGTTCTTTCTCTAATAATAACAAATCACAGTTTTTAGGATCTGAATCATTGTTGGCAGTTTTAGCGAAGATAAATCTTGTTTTGTGGAAAATTATCTATTTGGTTTTAAAAGTCTGTTGCCATGCTCTTTGGAGATGAAGTTGAAAAAGGAGTATTCTATTCAGAATATTCTACTCAAATTCTAGGTGTCTTGGTTTTTTTGATTTTGTAAAAATTTTAACAGTTGTCTTATCAGAGTAATTGACGTATTATGGTTGTGGGAACCATAATAATTTAGAATTATTACTAGATTGAACTGTTTCCACTTATTTGAAAAGGGGGTTGAGATGGGTGTCCCACAGTTGGCTCCCCATGAGTCTCATGTTTGAGTGTGAGTTTCAGTTGCACAGTTTAATGCTATTTTCATGCCAAGACATGAATTGCATATTTTAATGGCACTGTAGCTTGCAGAAAAAATATAAATGGAGAATGCAGAAAACTGTGGATTGAGGATATAACAGTAAACTAAAAGGATGAAGCAGAGAAACTGCTCCATTATATTGATTTTTAATTTTTCTTCTTCAGTGACACTTTAGTGCTCCTCTGACATGAATGCACAAATAACTGTAACTGTATCAGCTACATATAGGCAAGCATTTATTTTTCAGAATCTTGTTTTCCTAGATGATAGGCAGGTTATAGATACTAAGTTTTGCTTGGAGAAGGAACAGTTCCCATGAAGTTTGAAATATTTAGGTCATAACAATACACTCTATGAGGAGTGTGTGTGTGTGTGTGTGTGTGTGTGTGTGTGTGTGTGTGTGTTGCACTGACCTCTAGCATTTTCTGCAATATCCCCAGATACAATTCGTTTACTCGATCATGAAATGGAAATAACTTATCTCAGGATATACTTTTCAGTTAAGTGATATTACCTCTTAATTATAATAGCATTACCTACTGTTTATTCATTTCAATGAGTACTTTACTTCTTATTTCATGTATACTATTATATTTAACCCTAAAAATATATTTAAAATATAGCAATTAAAGTCTCATCTTGCAGAAAAAGAAAACATAACACAAACTGAAAGTCAGTTTTGAGCTTAGAGAGAAGCAATAGTCAGCTTGACTAGGATCTAAACCAATGTGTCTAATGTCAAGATAAATGTTCTTAAATAATCTGATTCTCTTAAAATAAAAACATCCAGAAAATATTGAGTAGAGTCCTCAAGAACGATCTCTGAATTGATTGATAATTTCAATCTTTATAAGTGATTGGAAATATAAAATATTTTTGAAGATTAACTCTGTGATGTCATTAAGTACCAGAACCTTCCTGCAATTCAATAGCCCCTGCTGTATTTTTTGTGATTATTACTGAAACAAGATGTGATTGTTTTTGAAGGGGTATGCACATTAAATTTAAGCATGATTTTATTCCATTTCGCTATTTTTTCCCTAAGACTGAAAACCCATATTTATTAATAATGTTAGTATAAAAAATGAAACTATCATTGTGTTATTACACAATTGCTGCCCTAAGCAACTAGGCTGTCCATTTTCATGGCTACAGACCACATTCACAAGAATATTCTCAAGTTCAGTGAGATGCAATGAAACAAGATAGAAATACAGTTAAAGTCCCTAGAGGTACATAATATATTTACATTAATACATTCAAGGTTTCTATGAATTATGTAATGAAAATAGAGATGTCAAGTTTTTGAGGTCCTGTAATATACACAGACAAAACTTTCTAGATACTGGAAACTTATTTCCAGCAAGTACAACTCACCAACAAATCTGTATCCATCATCCAGACTTCAGTCTCTGTGGTTACACAAAACCTCCAAGATGGGATTTCTGTCCTCACAGGTGCTAAATGTTCTTGTAGAGATGGGATGAATAGCTTCGGAATCTTAGTCCTCTTAAAAACTGAAAAATTCAATGTCACTTTTTGTGGATTCATAATACACATGTAACAATTGTCTAGGGAATAACTATTTCATTGAAGACACATTATACCAAATACTAGGCAGAATGTACAAGGCAGATTCAGTGGGGACTAATGGCCTACCCATCTCATGGTATAAATTGGCATTTAGGAAGACTTTGAGAAAGGCTAAGACTTAAACAAATTAGTGAGAAGGGAAGTACATTGAAAACTAGGGTACTGGGTATAAACAAACGTATGGTCATAATCTGGGCATTTAATAAAAGTTGGGCATTTTACTGGGATGGTTGCTTTTAGTTCTCACAGCCACTTAATTAAGAGAATTATTTTTTA